CTGCGGGCTCCCGGCACACGTGCAGCACAGCCAGTGTTTACCGAGCGCTTCCCGGATTAACCTTGACCACCGTTACTCCGGGTGAATCCCTGTTAGCGTGGGGCTCGGCACCGAAAAGCCTTTTCTCTCCCAAGAAGTGAGGGGCCGTGCTGCGGTGGTGGCTGCTGCAGGTGAGCTACAGGGGAGGCCCCAGAAATGGCCAAGTTCCCCGAGAAAACCGCCCCAGAGCTCACAGCTCCCTGTGCTCTGGTGATGCAGCTTGTCCTCGCAGACGCCCAACGCGAGGCACCAAGGCTGTGTGCGGACCTTGGCCCTTGAGGGGTCTCTGGGAGCTCGGCGAGAGCTGTCAGCCACCCAACGGTCCCCCCGTCTTCTCGGGGAACGTGCTGCGCCCATGCCGGGAGGTCCCCCCGTCTTCTCAGGGAACGTGCTGTGCCCGTGCCGGGAGGTCCCCCCGTCTTCTCGGGGAACGTGCTGCGCCCGTGCTGGGAGGACCCCCCGTCTTCTCGGGGAACGTGCTGCGCCCGTGCCGGGAGCTGTTGGCACGGTTTAATGAGAGGTGTGATTTGCCAACGCGTTTCTACCGGGCTGCGAGATGCGCTAGCCCAGCGCCCCGGGTCAGCGGCAGAGCTCTCAGCGCAGCGTCTGCACTCGCACAGGGACACCGGGACGGGAAAGGGCCACGTTCACATCGCTGCACAGTGACAAATTCTGGGTTACCCTTCTCTTGTCCTGGCCCTGTACGTGGGGGAGCTCAGAATCTCCCAGGAAAGCCGTTAGCTGGGGAGAAGGCTAACGCTCAGGCTGCAGGCTGAACAATAGCAACTAATTAGCAGCAAAATAATACAATTTTTAATGATAAGTCATGCATCCTGTTGCGCCGTACGGAGCCGTCCCCGGCGTGGCACTGATCGGAGCGGTGGGGTGCGTCGGCAGCATCGTGGGCCGGGCTGCAGCGGGCATTCCCTTTGGAGCCTCGTTTGAGAGAGGGAACCCCTGTTTCCCCGGATCGGCTGCGTGTGTGAAGTGCTGCTCCTTGGGTGCTTATTAAGCGGAGGTGGCACTTGCAGGTGAGGAGGCTGCGAGCTGCAGGGTTTCTGCTCTGGTTAGAGCGAATCTCAACGCACCGCTGGGAAATCAATGATTTGCCTAACGGAGATGAGCCGGTCCCTGGCAGACGAGGGTGGGCACACTTACTGGGGCTGGGGGGAGGCTGCCCTTGCTGCCCCTGCGAAGGTGTGCGTCTTGGGGGAGGCGTTTGAGGGAGGACGTGGTTTGCCATGTGCAGAACTGCTCCCAGGTGCAGGGACCCTGATGCTGTTGCAGCCCTTGGGGTGCAGGGGGAGAAGCAGGCCATAAGCTGCAAAAAATGGAAGGAAAGCAATAAAAATGCCAAGCAACAAGGGCAGCGGGGTGCACGCGGTTTGAGCAGGGAGAAAGCACAGGAACAGCTTATTTGGCGTAAAGAAATTGTTCTTATGGGGCGCATAAGCACTCAGCTGCTCAGCTCTTTGCGGGACAGGGTGCTGGAGAGGAGGGGGCTCGAGAAGCCCCCGCAGATACAGCCCGTTCCTCCCC